ATCAAGCAGTCATATTGACAAGTGCTCCCCCCGAAGGGAGTCTGATGTAATAGCTCAGCGACACAAATGAAAGCTGCCAAAGTTGACTTCTGTAAGACAACAACACACGCAGGAACAACAAGAAGAAAAAGCTACTGAGACAACAAAAAAAAAAACAACACTCTATTATGGTGCAATAGCCACAGTCACATAGCCGTTATTTGACAGAGCAAAAGGTAGGGAGAAAATATAAGGAAGGAGTCTTAATGAGTACACTCAAGTATTCTCAGTTGATGTGTGAAGGAGAGATTTATTCCTCGTAGAACTGCGGCCACGTCATGCGCCGTCCACGCAGCACGTACGTTGCAGTGAGCCCCACAGAAGGTTCTGGCAATGCTGCACATTTGAACCATTAAGACAGTTTTTCCCAAATGAATACACAACAACAACAACAACAACAACAACAAAAAAGACTCCAAACCAAACCACTTAAAACCAGCATGCAGTGAGTGTGCCAGCTGGAACAAGATGTGTCATTTCAGAGAATGCGAAAAGAACCTCAGACAAGAGGGGGGAAAAGGCACCTTCCCACTGCTGCAGATGCTGCTACATCAAGACCCTGCAACCACACTGACAAGCACAGTGAGCAAGCAGGTAAAAATATACTGCCATTTTCTAAACTTTGTCTGTACGGATCATACGTCATACTATTGTTTTTCTAGGGTTGAAGTGTTAGCTTGTACATTCTACAGGTTCGGTTTAGCCATTTTTAACCGACAGTATTTCACATTAGCATATCAATATTTGCCATCCCTGAAGTGTCGTTTTTTATACACTTCATATTGTCAGTATTGTCACTGCTTAATTTACTTTAAGTTAATCGACCAGTGAGAAGAGAAGGCTCAATATATATACATATATATATATATATACATATATATAAATATACATATATATTTATAAATATACATATATATTTATATATATATGGCAGAGATATATGCATTACCTACGTTTTTTTTAAAAAAAAATTTTTTAAAATCAAACAGTCATTATCGTCATGAGGCAGAATTTCCACGTGCAGTATGAAACATATATAGGCTATTTAAATTACAGCTACAGAGAGCATACTCCGTCTCATTATTCCAGGTTAAATTAGGAGCAGGTTCCATGCAGGCTGCACATTCCACCGACAAAGAATTACAGGGAATTGGGGCACAAGTTTCCTGTAATGAGAGCAGCCCGGAACACTGACCTGTGAAAACCCATATTTGTGCCTGTGGAAGTATTAAGCCTTGTTAGAAAAAGCAGTAACAGGGAGGCTGGGCTCGGTGATGTTTACAACACCTGCTGTACTTCATCTTTGTCTCACCTTCTACTGACAGATTCACAAATGTACCAGTTATGAAGAAATAAAAAACATGTTTTTCTCTATTTATATCTGCCTAATCGTCTAATACTATTTTACTTTTCTGCCACTCCCTATAGAAAAGGCCTTACATATTTTATGTGTCCAAACACGTACAAAGGGCTCTCGGTTTACGTCTTGTTCTTGTTCTATTCCGATGTATGGCGTTAAAGCTAATTTTGCGCGGGAACTAGTTGGCAAGTGTAGAAGACGAATATGTCGTCACGCAGCAGCGCTGTAGGTGGAAGATAGCCTTGTTTACATTTGCCGGTTGTACGCCATACATTGGATTGTGGTACATTTACTTTCTTATGTTTGTCTTGTTATTTTTTGCCCGCCGTTATGGCTCCCAGGTCTAAGTCAGACTCTTGAAACGTTTTATGTCCTAGTTTATGATGTTAGCACTGTGTTAGCGTAGGTGAGTGACATAGTTACTTATGTACAGTATGTGAGTTTTGATGTTCTGCGAAAATCGAGTTATGATGTACCGTAGGAACGACACTCCGAAATAACCGTCGCACAAAGAACTTTGGAACACAATATAGTTGCAGTGTTTTACTGTAACTTTTGTTGCGTAAGCTGGAATATACACTTCAAATGCTAGTTGAAGATTGGACTGCATATTGGGAATCATTAAAGCACTTTCCCGTGATTCTTATTTTATTTTGTTACAACATTAACATTGGTGTGAACAACACTAGACCACATAAATGTGACTATGACGAAGAATTAGCATCTTCGCACATCCTTTGTATTCTGGGAAACTACTGTAGAGGTTCATTATTTTGTGTTGGGTTTACTGTTATAAATAACCGTTTATTATGATTTTTTTTTTTTTTTTTTCAGTTTGGTGTGAATGCACGATGGTAGGTGAAATAATCATCACATTGAAGACCTGAATGCACTGGGAGATCTCTGTTAACACAGGCGCTGGTTAAAAATGTCACCAAATGTCTGTACAAAGACATGTCCAAAATTCCAAAACAACTAGGATCAAATAGTCAGGGCACTGACACTGATGACTAACCTTGTATCTCGTACTCATCAATGACGTTTTTGGTGGGTCATAACCTATTTTAATTTGAGGTCCAACCTGTTTAGGACACTGACCGTTACCTCAGCGGACAGGTTTTCATTTTTAAATACATGCAGTATTTCCCTTTACTTCAACAGCCCCTAGACTACTGCATCAGTTATGCAATTAATACATTTGCTCAGAAGCACAAACATTATAGAGATACAAGGGCAAAAAAATAAAACTTTTTATGATGCATTTGTTGCCTAATTATCCTTTCAAAGACCAGACTTCGAGGGTATGGAACCTGGCACTGCTGTGTGGGGCTGTTCATGTGGAGACTGAGCCAAATGCGGATACTTTTAGGGAGTCTGTGTTGCTATGGTTATAACTCCAATGGAAATACTGCTTTATTAGGAAACATGTGATTGAAAAACAGCGGGAAACAGATGTGTTGCTGATATTATACAAGAAAAAGCAAAACAGAATTAGCAATTTAACAAATCACTACACTCGAATAGTAGGTGCACCGTGTTGTTTTACCCCACCCCCAAAAAAACAAATGTCCTTGTTCAAGCTGTTAACTTGAAACTTACTTCCAACCACATTTTATGGCTAGAGCTGTATTTATAGCTTCAGCGTTCTTTAGCGACTTTAGCGATCGATACTATAGGTTAACTCTTAAATAATTCTAGTTGTAGTGACACAAAAGTAAACTGGCTCGTTTTAAAAGACAAAGCTAATACAGGGTCTCCACTCACTTATTCTAAGGGATGTCAAACTCATTTCGATTTTAGGGGCCTGATGTCAGGTGAGTCGGACCAGTACAATCCTAACATAATTACCTATAAATAACAAGTCCATTCATTTTTTTGAAATATAATTTGACAAAACATCACGAACATGAAGCGTTTGTGCATTTTTTTACTTTCAAAATTCATCAAGCGGGCCAGATGAATCCTCCCTTACGGGCCAGTTTTGGCCCACGGGCCATATGTTTGACCCCCTTCTTCTAAGTAGTATATCTTCTGAGCATGACATTTATCACTAATGCATTCAAATATGTTCTTTTCCACAGTTGATACTTGTATACTTTGACTTTTGTACACGGTTATGACCCAAATTATTTGTTGTTTGTTTATGTTTTCATCAGAGAACAGATGGAGGAGCCTGTGGCTGCGGCAAAGAAAAATACTCTCTGACCACAGTCTATGTCAAGGACAAATGCTGTCGACGTTCTCTTGCAACAAAATCATCATTAGTTTTATCTAGGACAAAGCAAAATAAAAACTAATATAGACAAGAGATGCACTCTGGTGAAATGTTAATTTGATTGACTGGAGGCAGAGCCGTATGTTTGACACCACTGCTGTAAAGCATGTCTTCCCTTTCCTTTCGACAATAATATTATCTGGCTCCACAGCTCGGAGATTAGGAAACTAAAATGCCATTTGATCACGACTCATGATGAATGACAGTTTGCGCGTCGTGTGTATCGCCTATATATCAGCGATACAGAAGAACATCTCCAGGTGCAGGTAAATGGCCCCAGGCCTGGAGTTGGAAAACACTGATAACCAAGATCAGCTGTTCGACTAATGAACCTTAACGCACAAATGAGGCGTGCAGACTCAGCTTGAGTTTCGCAGAAGTAAATCGAAAAAACAGATGTCACACTGAAGCTGGAAGGATACCCCCATACCCTCACCCTACTTCCCCACCCCCATGCTCATTGTCGTACCCTTAGGAAAACTGGGAGCATGCACACACTGCCACACACACTCACAGACAAACGCAAAGAGTATCCGCAGTGTCGCTAATGATGTAAGTTCGGCATCAAACAAGTCGATATCACTGAGCAATTCAGAGCTAACGGTTGATACACAATGGACAGATTTGGTAGAAAATAAGTGGATTTTTTTTCAAACCCCATACAACTGCAAGTTTCAACTAAACACGATCAACCAGTAAATTGTCAAAAAGTCATAATTCTAGCACAGGGGTGTCAAACTAACTTTGGTTCAGTTGCCGCATACAACCTGATTAGATGTCAAGCAGGCCGGACCAGTACAATTATAACATAGTTACCCAAAGAGTGGGTTGCAGCCCTCAGTTGGGTCGCAAGAGATTTTTTTTTGGGTTGTTTCGCATCATGTTTCCCAGGAGTTTACGAATAATGTCTATTGACTTGGATCGCAAAGTTTTGTGACTTTTAAAATATGGGACCCAGAAAAAAAATTGGGAAACACTGACATAGTGAACTATAATGCAAAAAAATACATTAGATTCATATTTAATAAAATATAATTGTATAAAGAATTTTGGAAACACTGACATAGTGAACTATAATGAATAAAATATAATTTTATAAAGAATTTCGAGAACATGAAATGATTCGTGAATAAACGTGAATTCATTTTTTTTTTTAAATTCATCATGCGGGCCCGATTGAAGCCCCAAGCGAGCCGATTTTGGCCCACGGGCTGTATTTTTGACACCCCTGTTCTAGTGTTATTTTTATCGTGTCATGTTGGCATGAAATAAATAATGTGTATTCTGTTATGTGTATATGTTTTTTTCCCCATGTTTTTTGCTTACCTTCCTCAGCAGGTTGCAGATCCTCTCAATATTCCGCAGTCTCTCCCTCTGCAAGGAGGCAACAGAAAAAAGGTGGGTTTGATGACTCACTCTTTTTTTTTTATGACGGTTGAATATGCTGACATGTGATCAAAGAGGAAAAAGTACTTGGAAAACACTGCAAGACTGATGCTTACTGAGAAATCTGCAAAATACATTTTCCCCCCTTTTAGGCAAATACACAAGTACACTGTCACAGCCACAACTATTGTCTCCAAATGTGTCTGACAAACTGTATGGAGAGTGAAAAAAATAATCACGTTATTTGCAAATCGTCAAAGCATAAAAAAAAAAGTATTTCTCTGACTAACCAGTTCGTTTGGCAGCACAGTGATGTATTGGTTAATACACGTGTTTGGGGGTGACCTGTCGCTATATCGCTATAAACAGTATTTACTTTAGTCACAGTCTTCCTCATGTAAGACACTGTTGTCCTGGTTTATTTAATTACCATATGTGAGAACAAGCTTTTAGTATCAACGTGCTAAACGCTAATTTGTTTTTGTTTTTTTCGTACAAATTTTTGCCAGTTTCAGATCATCTTGATCTGGTACTACACCATTTGTAAATAAAAAAAAAAAAAAAATTTGTTTTATCCCATATTTGGGAAATCGTTGTGTTAGCAGCAGATATGCTGTTAACAGGCTACCCCTAGGGGTTAGCAGCAATGTGGTTCCTCTGGGAATCAAACCCAGGATTCTTTGCTTCCGAGACAGGCATGCTAACCTGTCACTCACCTACGCTAACACAGCGCTAACATCATAATCTGGGACTAAAAAAAAAATATCCGAAAAAGCTGACTTACACCTGGGAGCCATAATGAAGGGCAAAAGTCCCCGGATAAAGAACACAACGAAAGATAGTGAATGTAGCACAGCGTATAGGGTAGAACCATCAAATGTAAACGAAGCTGTCTTCCGTGACGAACCAATTGGCGCATTTTAATGCCATACGTTATGATGGAACAAGACTGTCTTTATAAATGAATAGAGGATGGCGACGTGACCACGAAACCCACAACACTCAACCTATGTTGAACGTCTTCTAAAAGTCAAGATCTGCTCTCAGCTAGGAGGGAGAAGAGATAGAATATTTGATCAGTTTGGTTTTTTTATAAGACCTGAGTAGCGATAAGTACATTTGCAGGTTTGAATTGTGCCCACGACAACGTATACCTCAACGGGAAAAAAAAAAAGTATCTTTAAGGCCGACGGAAATCAGGCCTAGGTTTTGCTCCATCAGCAAGGGTCGACGTTAAGTCAGTGGAACTTAACGATTTCATGTTCTTTGTGCGTGTATCCCGTTTAAGAACAGCTTAAATCAGCAAGCGCCACAATGCTTTGTACGGTTTCGCCGAAGCTTTTAACGTCATCATCAAATATTAACTCGATCACACACACTCAAGCTTGACCGCGGGCAGCGCGGGTGTTTCACGGAAGCGCAGTGCAGCGTAACTCAGGCTGCTTATAAATCATTGACCGACCTGAACCGCACGCCGATGGAGCTTTTTCAAAAAGGTCGGCGGAATGCATCGGAAGTGGACGTAGGTTGATTTTACTTTACGAATAAATGCAACAACGAGGCGGACGTCAACACCGTGAATGCTTCACCGGTCGCAACGTTTGGAAAAACGCCATGTGCTAATTATAAATATTGTGTTTAATATAACGTAGTTAGATTAGCAAATGAGCCAATCTTTTTCTACAACTTAATTTTTGCGATATCTAAATTTTAAAAAGTATCACATATTACAGTGTACGTTCTTGCGATATATATCTGATCCACAAGGCCAATCACCAGGAGTCCTATCCAATTCTAAACAAAGTCCTGGTTCAGAATAAATATTATTTTTTTCCTCCTTAATCTAATCAGCGTCTAACCCTAGCACCAAAGAAGAATTAAAGCCAAGTGTTAACCTAGGACCCCACGCAGGGTCCCGACCCCATGGTTGAAAAACACTGACCTGGAAGAACTACATAAGGAACTGGAGCATGTGTCTAAAAATAGAGGGCGGGGACTACTACTGGTCAAAATGTCAGAGCCACAAATAGAAAAATGTATACATTTTTAAATAATACAAAACATTGTACTACTTAAAAAAAAAGTAGTACTTTTTTTAAAATAAATTAGGTGAAACAATATTTTTCATCCGTGATTTTCTTTTATCAATTAATAAACATTTCGGGCGACCTCATTTGAATTTCCCGGCGACCCCATGTAGGGTTCCGACCCCAAGGTTTAAAAAAACACTATTAGTGAAAGCTACGCCTATGTTGCCGTCTTAGAGTGCTTAGAGTATCCCCACTCAGGTGTTTACTTTATATATAATATAAATATATATTATTTAATATATTATTTAATATATATATTTATATATTTTATACTTTATACTACTGTTTTCCACTTCATCACAGCTGGTAGACTCATTAGCAAGCAATTGAGCTAACGGCTTGATTAAATGTTGCTCAGGTGCAACGTGAAATTACAGCAAGAAAACGAAGACGACGACAAAGCAGGATGAGGGTGTTTTGGGGTTGACCTGTCGTCAACCGTCCCAATTAGGAGCTCTTCATCACTGGTGGGGGGGGGGGGGATGTATTGGGA